TTAGGGAATACGTGCTGTATGTATTGCATAACTTGGCCAAATGGAGCCCCTTCCAGATCTTCAGTGATATTGCTCTCGAAGAGAACAAGGCAATCAAATAGTGCCTTAATTGCTTTCCCAAAACGAAATGATGTGCCCGCTCGACTGACACCATCATTTGGTTCAGGCTCCTTGTGATACATCCCACGATGGGTCACAAATCCATCTGGAATTTGGGCGGTATTGCTGTTACCAAACCCAGACTGCGGCAACGAGTTATACAGTTCGCTATGGACGAATACGACATCGTGGCTGTCCAGTGCATTGGTGAAATAAGGAGTAATGAATGCGTCAAAAGAGTCCTCCCTCTTAATACAGTCGACTTGGGCCTGAACTTCCACTGACCAAAAGGCATCTGCTCCGACTGTTTCTTCTGCACTCGAGACGTATCCATTCTGCAACAATAGGCCAACATGCTCGTAGCCCAATTGTAAATCTGGTTTACTCGGTGTCGCAGGGATTAAAGCTCTCGCAATTGTACGCTCCACTAGTTGACGAGTTTCTTCCGCTCGCTTATCATTCAATTCGCGGATTTCTTCCAATATCTTACGATAGTGTTCGCAAAATTCTTCCACTATTTTACGATCTCGTTTTCGGATTTCATCCGCAATTTTACGATCCCGTTCGCGAATTTCTTTCTCCACATTATCACTCATTCGACAAGTGTGTTCGTGGATCCTTGTGAACGCATCGTGTGAGATTGAACTTTCGAGTATCTGATCGCCACCAGTCCCCTTTGGTACCACCACCAGCACGTGAACTTGCTCACTAGATAAAAGCTCCATGTTGTTATCCGTGAAGAACCACGTTGCTAAGATCTTTGAGTCCAGAATCAGTTCTCCGGCCGTCAGCGCATTGATGTAATCGTCGGATTCTCCTTTAACCGGCTTCAGAGCAGCCCTATGTTCGTCTGCGAGCCACTTGAGACTTATCTCCATATCCTTCGCAGAAGAGCGGTAAACAGGGACGACCTCTTTGCCAGCCTCCTCTTCAACGGGCTGCTTCGCCAGGAAGAGCTGCAGGCTCTTCGCAGCTACAATTTTCAGGGCTGAGTCGTCCGCTTTCTTCTCCTTAATCTTTATCTTTAAGTCTTCCACCGTTGCACTCTCATCGACAGCAACAGGGAAGGCACTTCCCGTCTCCCCAACGACGCTACAGAAAAGGTTGATCATCACCATCTTATCTCTAGCCGGCAAATGTTGAAATGACTAACGGTCAAACGTAGTGCTTTTACATGTTGTTATTATGAGGATTTTCCACCTGAAATTTAAGATGAAATAGCTCATCCTCCTTGCACTCGTTAGATAGATTGATAGCGACCTAGATGGATGCGCACTGACATGTGAATTGGGTTATGTGAGGCCTGTCGTCCTAGAATTCTGGCCTAACATTAATCAAATTTGGTGAACTACTTTGCACTCTGGCCCCATTCTCGCATTTACCATGCGCAGCTTTACCGTCGGTACGAAGAAGGTGTCCACGGAGTGCCGCCGTCAATCCGTCGCAGCTTTCTCTATTGCTCTGGGCGCCGACGCGGAGCTTGCGCTTGCTTGTCATGAGCTCTACAGTCCTGGGTTTTGCCGCCTCCTTGCTGGTGAAGAGTTCAAAGAGATCGTGGACAAGGTGTCCCAGTTTATCCTTGCCGACGAAGACAGCAACTTAAACGACATCGAAATCGATATAGCGATATAACTTGTCTCAGTTCATCTTTGCGCAGGGAATCCAACAATATCATTTATACCTATGTCCTGGATCTGCGGCAATAAATATCGTTGGGCAAAACGCTATTAGCAAATAGATAATTGCAGCTTGAACATTACAGAAATACATTATCTGTGCATTAATCGAATGCTCACCACTTTCCTTCCTCACGCGTATAATGATTCCTTATTACAATTTGTGTAAAACATAAACAGAAGGCCACATTGGCCCTCATGCTCGCAGTAACGTCCGCGAGTAAAATTAATCATGTTCTACACACAAATCCGTAAATACATTTTGGGTATTTGCCGCACCTGGAAATAAATTATTTACTGTTGAAAATAAAATATACTACTTGAAAATTTATTTTTTGGGTAGCATCGGCAAATTTGACCGAGATTCACAATATTACAAAACAATATGACAGAGTCCTCGTACGATGCTTAGATTTTTCAAGTATTTTTGAGTTTTTATCGTTTCTGGTGAAAGCACTCAGACATGTAGGGAACTACGAGCACGCCGCTTGTTTCAGTCATAAAGTCTATTCAAGCGACCTGCACGTCAAGCGGAACTGTGCATTTGCAGCATTACAACTCCAGATGTCTACAAGAAGTAGGTGACGACGGCGGCGGTCACAGCAGCGACGCTGCCAGCGGCCACCGAGGCGGCGCCCGACGAGCCCGAAGCCGAAGCGGAAGCCTCCGACGAAGCCGTGGAGCCCGAGGTCGTGGCGTCCGAAGAACCCGAGCTGGTCGTGGTGGTGGTGTCGCTGGAGCCCGACGTGGTAGCAGCGTCCGAGGAGCCCGAGGTGGTGCCGACCGTGCCGCTCACAGTCGAACCGGCAGCGGCCGAACCAGCACCGGCAGCGGGGGCAGTCGTAGATGTGGTGGCAGCAGCGTCCGTAGCAGCCGACGAAGCCGTCGAGGCGGCCGTCGAAGCGGCAGTAGTGGCAGCAGCCGACGAGGCGGTCGAAGCAGCCGTGGTGGCGTCCTGGCCGGCAGCGACGGCAATGACAAGAGCAGCAGCGAGGAAGCCGAAGACCTTCATGATACTTGGTGGGGTGGAGGTGGTGGAGTAGTAAGCTGCTTGGCAGTTGCTGGCAAAAGTCAGAATGAAGACCTGTCAGCTGGGCGAGTTTCAGCTCCGATATCTTCCAGCTGCTACAGAGACTTGGGCCGTGCCTACCGCATGATGTTTTTCTACATGTGCGACCGACCAACAAACGAACGTCACCGTGATGGTTGTGGGGTTGAAAACCATGGATTTGGCTGAAAGGGAGGGTTGTTTAGTGAAACTTAGTTTAAATAAATGAGATTTTACCCCGAATAGAGCGCTGCCAGCTTCAAGCTGGTTGATCTGTCGAAGTGCGAACAAAAGGCCCGATGTGGACATTGAACGCTGCGACACTCGTCATCAGTCGGTCGGCGCACGGAGCTTGGCGCACCAAAACTGAGTTTACATGGCAACAGCTTGGCAAGTTGCCAATGGCAACGACGGTGGACACGCATCCGCTCGTAGGCACCTCAGTGAGATGTTCGGAACCAAACGTCTTCTATGCAGCATAGAGGACGGCAACCCTACTACCAGACTGGTAGTATACCAGTATGCCGGTATGCTGGGCCAGCGCGTGCTCCAAAAGACTTTTTCGGCATTCGTGTGCCGTGGTGCCCACCGGCTGGCGCCCGTCGTGCAATCTGACAATGCTCAGGCTGCAACAGTATTATACATGTAATTTTTCGCAGCCATTACGAGGTCACAACACTTTTTAATACCAATACTGGGGGCCCTGCACTGACATGCCGCCACGTTTGACTCACTTCGTACAAGTTGAGAGTCTCACCGTGCACTCCAAGGACACTGATGTTCGCGCGACAGTGGTGATGTCTGTTAAGAGCACATTGTACCTGTAATACCACTAATAAGTATGTAGCACGCGTACCCCGTAAACTATTTTTTTTTCATGTGTCAATCTGCTCTCAGAAATGTTCTTTATCCGTGCAGCTTTGCAAGATCGATCTCTGATTTCGATAGGGGGAAAAATGTAGCCAGCTGTGAGCGTTGCGATCAAACACGGAGGTCGTGTGTCGAGATTTTAGGCGAAATACTATGCAGAACTTATCGACCATCTTCAAGCTACGGAACTGACTAGGAAAATCCGTTGCAACAACGCGCTTGTCGTATCGTGGGGGATCATGCGTGCGTATCTTCCCTTATCAAAGCATCGCAACAAGTCCCAAGGCCAGTCCCGCAATGGCCCACGCAGTCGTCGCCGGGATGGAGGCACTCGAGTCTTCAACCGGAGTCGGCGTGGATGGCGATTCCGTGACTCTCTTGGGTTTCTTGGTTCGGGGTGTCTCAATATCGCCAGCGCTACCGAAGCTGCCGCTGCCACTGCTGTCGGTCATAGGCGCTGGGTTAGCATCCCACGGTGCCTGCGTTGCCGGTGCAGCGAATGCGGGTGGGGCAGGTAGGCCAGGGTTAACTCCAACAGGTGCAGCAGTCGGAGGTACAGTGGTGGGCTGCGTAGTAGTGGGGGCGTTAGGGTCCGATACGACGCTACCGGCTTGTCCTCCTGCGGTATTGGGGTCTTGAGCAGAAGCGAAGCCAATAATCGCACTCACGAGCAGAGCAGTAAATACACCGAATTTCATTCTAAAGGAGAGAGTTGAGCGAAGCAAAGCAAGTGCAGATATGTGAGTCGCACAGGAATTCTACGTTTGCCAGTAAGCGACTCGACTCGATTGAAGGCAATTTGATTAGGAGTGATGGTAAGAGAAGATGCCGCGTCTCAACTCCAGCTTTCAATCAGAAATAAAGCGCGGATATTGCTCATGAAGAATCTACGCAACCCTTTTTGTGGTGGAGACACGATTTTCTACAAGTCTGTGGCCGAGCAGCTCGAGAATCGCAACAACGCCGAAGATGTCCAGATACAAGACGCCGTAGAGGGCGACGATATATTTCAAGTGCTACTGATATCATTTCGTCAGCGTTCTGGTACCCGTCAATACATCGAGTCTGATACAGACGTAGAAGATGAATTTGAACGGGATGACGACGTTCTTTCGCGGACGCGATGGAGTCGTGACAAGTTTGAGGAAAACATCTTCAAGACTCAATATCCAGACGAGGCTACAAATGAATGCTCGGAGCAAGCTTCTCCAAATTTACTAACGGTACTGCGTTGGGTGGGCACGCTGCTGCTTGGTGTCTCCATCTTGCTAACGTGGCCGATTATTTTAGCGTATCTGCAAGGCTAAACTAGCTGAGCGTCTCCAAACGTGTACTCCAAACATTAGTTTAGCAGAAAGTTAAGATAATAGTAATAGCAGTCTGACGCTTGACACTGATCTTTACTCAATCATATCAACTCGTCGATGCTTTTAATCACCCACGTCTTGGTCTTCGAGGCCTGACCTTGCCGAACGATATCGGTTTACCGTGCACCGCGTCAGAAAGCGTGTCGGTAAGTCTGGTAGCGTGGCAAGCAGTGTTAATCTTGGCCCATCCATATTAAGATGTTCACTACACTGCGTACCTCTGAAGACCGAGTGTCTGTGCTGTGTGTGGGAGTTTGCTAACAAAATGTTTCACTCTATCCGTGAAATCCAGGAACATCTCAAGATGTTGTCGCTCCCCTGCCATCTGCGAGATCCATCGAAGAATATCTTGCAGGAAGCTGGTGAATCGAAAGCGCTGTCCGTAGCTAGTATCTTCTTCCAAAAAAACTGTCAGTTCCCCAAGCAAGTGAGGAATAGACAGTAATCGCTCTTTTGGAGGCAACGCGTCGACTTCTTTTACACGGTCCATGTAATATCTCGGTGGCTTGACTTTTATCTTCCGTTTGCGCGTCGTAGCATCGACTTCATTGGGTGTATGAACGCTTCTCTTAGCGTCGTTCACCCGTGAGGTTAAAGTCCTTGATGTCTGATCCTTCGATTCGAGTAGTAGCAACCGATGGCTACATTCTTCACTCTTGCTCTCGGAATCGGATTCCTCATGATTCTGAGCTTCCGTCACTGGGTCAATAGTTGTGATAGGGTCTTTATGCTTATCCAACGTAGCACTCTAGATGAATCCATGTACTACGATCAATACCACACTCGACAGAGCCAAAGAAATAATTTGGCGTACCACAGAGGAGCTCGCCACTATCTTTTGCAATCGCTTCTCCAATTGCTGTTGTACGGCAATTGTCCTCTCGATCGCTTTGAGCAGACTGGAGCTGCGTACAGTGCTCGACTGTTCCAGCTTCGAGACTGCGCTGCGTACCTCCTCCAACTTTAAAAATGCTGCTAGCACATTGTTTAATGCGTCGTCCAGAGCTAAGAACTCCTCTTGTAGTATGAGATTCGACGTTGCTTGGAGCTCCTTAGGCGGTACAAGCACCAAGACTCGCTCGTACAACGCTTCCATTACAAAACGAAAATTGATTGGTCGGTCCGGAAAAAGGCTATCTTTTTATGTAGCCATGTCA